AACGACTAAAGTAGTAAACCCAGCCTTGCCACTTCCACCAGTCGATTCAACGCCTGGAGATTCTCCCATCTCTGCGGATTTTGATTTTGATCAACATGTTGCTGTTCGGAAAGGTAAACGATTTTGTACCAATCACCCTATCTCCAATTTTGTATCGTATAATAAATTATCCTCCTCCTTTCAAGCTTTTTCTTTGTTATATCCTCTATTGCTCTTCTTAAGTCCTACAGGGAGAGACTTTCTCATCTAGGGTGGAGGAAAGCTATGGAAGAAGAAATAAACGCTTTAAAATTGAATCATACTTGGGACCTTGTTCCTAAGCCTGCCGATACTTAGGTTGTTGGTTGTCGTTGGGTTTTTACTATTAAACAGAAGCCTGATGGTACTGTTGACCATCTCAAAGCTCAACTTGTTGCTAAAGGCTACACGCAGACTTATGGCTTTGATTATACTAAGACGTTCTCTCCTGTGGCCAAACTAAATTCTGTTCGTATGATAATCTCTCTTGCAGCTAATCTAGATTGGCCACTTCATCAACTTGATGTTAAAATGCCTTTTTGCACGGTGACCTTACCGAGACAGTCTATATGACTCAACCACCTGGGTTTGAGTATAAGGGAGAGTGTGTGTGTCATCTCAAGAAGTCTATCTATGGACTCAAACAGTCCCCTCGTGGATGGTTTGATAAGTTCAGTAAAGCAGTGGTAGCTCATGGTGTGACCAGAAGCCAGGCTGACCACTCTCTCTTTTTTAAGAAAACGAAATGTGGTATTGTGATTCTTGTGGTGTATGTAGATGATATCGTTATCACCGGCAGTGACAAAGATGGGATACAAGTTCTAATCCATCACTTGAGTTCTAGTTTCCTTACCAAGGATTTGGGCAAACTTTAGTATTTTCTAAGAATTGAGGTGGCTCGGTTGAAGCAAGGCATTAGTCTTTCTTTGCGGAAGTAGACTCTTGATCTCTTTTAGGATACTGGATATCTTGGTTCGAAACCTGTAGCTACACCCATGGAGACTAATGTAAAACTTAAGGTGGATGATGGTGACCCACTCGATGATCCAGAGATGTATCAAAGACTTGTAGGTAAACTTATTTACCTCACAATCACTTGTCTAGACATCCTATGTAGTCAATGTTGTGAGCCAGTTCATGACCAGTCCTTGGGTACCTCACATGGAGGCAGTTGTACGCATCTTAAAGTATCTCAAAGCTGCTTTGGGATGTGGTCTGCTTTATCGATCTTCTGGACATCTTCGGATTGAGGGATACATAGATGCAGATTGGCCGGTTCTCCTTCTGATCGACGGTTAACCACGGGTTACTGCACCTTCATAGGAGGAAATCTAGTAACTTGGAGGAGTAAGAAACAATCAGTTACCTTTTCCTTTTTTCCCGCCTAAATAAAACTTATATATGGTACTAGTTATATTGAGAGGAGAAAATTCTAGAAAATACACCAAATGCATAAGATCAACTTAATTCGACAAAACATTCCCAAACTATTTGGGGTCAACTGAATGTTTCCTTTTTCACTATTTAGCTCTATTAAGGCTGTAACTTATGCATTAGTTTTAATATTTTGCCCCTTTCTCATAAGATTACTCTCGATATGGACCACATCACTCTTTGTTACCGATGCTACTATTGGTTTTCCCTCTACATGGTCAACCAATTTTCTCTTAATTGATTTTTCTCTTGTTCTGTCTTCCATGGATGCTACTTCAGCCGTTTGAAGAAGAAATTGAATGTAAGCCTAGGAGGGGAAAAAAAATGAAGAATTCATACAACTGGTTAATCTATAACTAAAGTGCACGTCAAAACTATAAATATTATTATTTCAACTTTGAGTCCAGCAAAATAGAGAAATGAGTTATGCAACCATAATTTGAGTCCAATCTTCTATAATCCATTTCAAGTTCGAATATTACAAGATTCTACTAAAGAGATAGGAACATATACTAAAAATATAAATAAAGTAATGCCAATATGATTACAGATGCATAGGTTCCCCCCTCCCAAGCAGCAAAAAAAAAATAAAAATTGACAGATGTTATTAAGCTCAATATACCTATCTATTAGAACATATAATTTCAAATCTGATAATGACAAAAAGTTTTTTTTTTTTTAAAGAAAGAATCAACATTATAAAGAATTGATTCTAGTCATTCCAATTTGATGTAGAATACGAAGAATGAAACACATTCTAGAAATTAAAATATATTCAAGCAACAGGACCACCTATATTGAAACACGAGTATTTATAACAGAAATTATGAGGATTTCAATCTTAACTGAGTTGCCAACTTGTTTCAGAGTATCTAATAGGATGTCTAATTTGCAATTTTTTGTCAGTAAGCAAAATGATCTTTAGGAAAGATTGAATGTTATTTAAATTCCCCTCTAAAATCTTACTGTGTTTTTATTTTATTTTCTTAAACCTATTTAAATAAACTGAGATATGCCTAGTTAATTATTAATCATTTCATACATATTTTAATTGAGTATTTGCACATATATAATACCACTAGTATCTATGACTGAACCAAGTTTTAATTTGGACTTCTTTTGATGAACTTTCAAGTCCGTAAGTTTTAACCAAGTCTAGTTAGTTGTGAGTGAACCAAGTCTTGTACCTTTACATTTTCTTTGCCCGGTCTTTGTGTAGTTGGTTTTGGAAATCTACCAATGGCTGGAGGATTGTTCAATTCCACCAACTCGTTTTTAAGCTCCTACTCAAGTATTAGGAAGTAGTCGTTGATGATTTTGAATGATATTTTGAGTTCTTAAGATGGAGTTCTTTTCTCTATTTTTTTGTCTGTCATATGCTATTACCTATTGTTTACTTCATTATTTTTTTGGTCTAATGGAAAGGCGACATTGGCGAGTTCCAATGAACTTGCCACACACTAGATTGGTACTCTAATATCCAAAAGAGGAAGTGTAGTGTAATAGTATTAAGGATTGATTTTTGTGTTATCCACCAATAAGGAGGAGGTATGTGGTGAGTTCCAATGGAACTTGCTATGCCAGATCGCAACTTCTGGAAAATTCCATTCTGAGTGTTTAAATTATGTGGAAGCAAGGACTGTGAGGGCCCACCAGAGTCTTATTATGCAAAATTCTCTATTATTAGAAGGAAAGAGGCAAGTCCAATTAGGATTTGCCATCTTTAAAAGTGAGGGCTCGCATCTTACTATTTGGAATGAGTTTTACTACATACGGTGAGTTCTACTGAGCTTCCTATGGTGCTTACCGTTGTGGATCAATTCTTTTAAGGGATTGTTATCATAGTAAAATGGAGACTTGCCAAATATGGTAAAAGTTGGTTTAGCCAGAAGAAGGAGAACGTGGGGTTGGTTTTCTCCTTATTTTTAGGAGACTTCAACGATGGTTTAGCCAAGTCAAACAATATTGCTAAAAGGAAGGAGATGTGGGAGTTTAATTTATTTTTATAAATATATATGTGAATATATATTTATGTATCAGATTCAACCCACGATGAAGTAACAACTGTAAAGGAGGAGTCCATGGCGCCAAGAGTTCTAAATCCAGATGAGGTAAGGCTGAAGGGAAGTTGCTAAAGGTAAGGGGATGTGATTGGCAAATGTGGAGGATGATATATCTATGTATGTAATAAACAACCCGTGATAGAAGCTAAAATCAAGGAAGTGTGACACAACCATAACCCACGATGTAAAGTTAGTGGAAGAATGGAAAATAACGACGACGCCATGAAGCCAGGATGGAAAGCTCGGCCAAAGAAGGATACCTAAAATTAAGGAGGTGTGGTCTACAGAAGAGAAGGGTAATGTGGGTTTGCAAATAACTTCTATGTATATACATGATATATATATATATATATATATATATATATAGTTGTACAAGAATGAAACTTCCGCAGAAGAGAAGACTTTTGAAATCGTGGGACACTTGGCTAAATAAGGACATGACTGTTGAAGGTGGTGGTATTTCATGCAACTGCTACCACTAGCTGAAGAAAAGTTGTCGTAAATCATGGATGGTGAGGCTGATGAAATCGTGTCTGAAGGGGAAGATGTTTACGGCAAGAGAAAGGGAAGACAAGTGGAGGATAGGATATAAGAAGATGGAAGGAAGAAGTTATAACTGCCAAGAGAACATGGGACACTTGGCAGTTCGAAATCAATACAAGTGGAAGTTGCTAAGGCTGCTGTGCATGCATGGAAAACTCTATAAATGCAACACTTAGGCTTCACTTGCAAACTCTGTTCAAATCACACAGCCCAACAACATTTTAATTTCTTTACGTTCATGTTATCTTTACATTCTTGCAATGCACCTTCAATATGTTTAATTCAAGTTCTGCACTTATTATTCCTACTTTCCAGCACTTTAGTTTGAAGTCCTGCACTTTCAATACTGCTTTCCTTTCCACTAGCCATAGAATAGTCCAGAAGTTCTTTTTCAAGGCAAAAAGAACCTTCGAAGGTGGTAATTCCAGTCCTTCGTACAATCGCTTAATCCCTACAATCTCCTACTGGATAATTGTTCGGATATCCACTTTGGAACGACAACAGTTCCTGGCACGCCCGACATTCACCCTCCTTTCCGCACTTGGAAAGGACCACGGTTTTTAGGAGCCGAACACCTATTTTGTTCTTTTAAGCATTTTGGATGTCCATCATTTTGTCCTTCATGCTCATGAGTTTTCTTTCACTCATCATAAATGGATCTTGGTTATTTTTAATTAGAGAGCTAGCCATCCGATTCCTCGTAGTATCACAAAAGAAATCGGATTAGAGAGATCCGACCCTTAAAATTCTTTCATAAAGTCGGTGCTCTCATACTGGAAGGTCTGCAGCCAACACCTCACTCTTGTCAGTTCGATTATTACCATTTACCACTATACTAAACAATGAAAAAATAATAGAAACTAAAACGAAAATAATAATAGAAGCATAATATAGTTAAAATTCATAATTACCCATTTGCTATATTGTTTAAATCCCATCCGCTTAAGTTTGTTGCTTCCACCAAAGCTTTCCTCCATCTTTGCACCTTTTCTTTGTCATCCCCAAAATTTTCTTCATGTTTGGTAAGTGCTTATGCGAAACTCCCTGTTGTTTCCTTACTTTGGATGGATCCACATTGTAGAAGATAGGGAAAACTATCTGTCCTATCTTGTTCTTGCATTCAATGATCTCTACAAGTTCATCCAAGCACCATGAGGAAGAAGCATAGTTTTTAGAGGAAACGATAACAGCAAATCTTGATTCCTTAATTGCCGTCAGGAGTGCTGTTGAAATCGATTTTCCTCTCTCAATTTTTTCGTCATCTTTGAAGGTGTCGATTCCTTTTTGTTGTATGGCTGCATGGAGATGGTCGACAAAGTTCTTGCGTGTGTCTTCGCCTCTAAAACTTAAGAACACATCATATTTCCGTTGAGGTATGGAAGAAGAAGAAGAAGCCATTGAAGCTTACAAAATTACTGAGAGCCGGAGATCTGGAGATTAGTAATGATATTTCAGAAAGCTATTCTATATCCTAGCAGATGGCTGAGCTTGATGTCCAGGTAACTTCCTACTTTGCTTTGGAGAATGAGTTTACATATGGGGAAGATGGTGGTGACTTGCCAAGAAACTTCATAGTAGGAAGAAAAAGTGATGATCTCTTTCTAAGAGAAAGTGAGAAGTAGAGAGGAAGCTCCAAAGGTGTGAAACAAATAAACGACGACCACCACCTAGTCAGAAGGTATATAATCTCTTATTCCTTTTGTTTTGATGGGGTTTGAGGGGATGGATTTAATTTATTGAATATGAGATGAGTAACTTACATTTAAGGTATAGCATGTACCCACTTCTGATGTCACCCTGCTGAATGTGGGTCTTACTTAATAGGAGTGAATGATTCTTAGTTTCATTGTGTTTTGGGGCCAACCATAATCGCCACAGGCCAAGTGAAGCAAGCATGAGCCTTGGTAAATATGTAGGTCTGTTGGATTTGGTGGAAGCATATTATCGGAACCATCCACCGCCTCTAGAACATGCAAACTCAGTCAGGCCGTGACGTAGAAATCCTCCGAAACTAATATTAAAGAACCACGTGTCCTAATTAAAGATAAGAAATCTTGTCCATATACAACGTGGAATAAATCTAAGGCAACCGTCAGATATCACTGCCAACTGTCATGGTGACCAAAACATTTCTCATTATTTTAACCGCGGTGGAATTTGGAAATGTAGCCTGTTGTTTTTCTTTTTTGAACCTAACCATGGTTTAAAAACTGGACAATGGTTAAAGACCCCACTCCTCCAGCAGTTTGTATACAAACCAGAGCAAGACGGTTCGTTGCTGTAACATCTAGAGACAACATATCAAGATGATGATCAGGGAGCAAAATCATATGAATCCGATGGTCCATTCGAAGAATTATTCTTCCCAGTGAGGAAAGGACACAAGGGTTTGCCGCCCCTTTACTCTTAAACGATCATCAATGAATCCGTTGAACGCTCTGAGGGCCCCCTATTACAATTAAGTATTAGGTTTAGACTCACACATTTTATTCTGAGGGGTTTTGATTGTCTATGGTCAAAAGAAACATGACCAAACTTGTACCACTTTTCATGCTTTGAAATTTATGGCACGTGTAGTTGCAAAACCACCTTGATATTGATGTTGTTACGAAAACAAACTGAGGTTATGATAAAATATCTGACTTTGGATGTCAGTTTCGAAATCTAGTTGAGAAAGTGAAGGTGCTTTGATAAGTAAATGCGTTCAAGAATTAATTATTGTAAGAAAATGTGGTTACTCTTCCTTATTTTGAAATTTATGGCTCCATTTTGATAAGTGAATGAATTTGATTTAAAGGAATTTGTAACTCTTGCTTGATTATAGGAGAGATACATCTGAACTCTCTCTATATACATCTCAACTATTGAATCAAAAGATTTTCTTCACAAATTCTGAATTTATTTTTTTAAGCTCTGATCCTGTTTTGGTAAAAGGTATCTAACATCTTGTTAGTGCGTGGTCCTTGTGGAAGAAAGTAACATTTACGAATGAATTATTGTTGGGGAAGAAGGTCATAGCAAATGGGGACATTTGGTTATTTTTGATGATGTAACTTAGATTTGAAGGGTTTATTTATTTATTATTATAAATGAGAATTTTTCAATAGTCAATGCCTTTATTTCTTCCTCACACTTGGGCTGTTTTTACGCTCTAAGGTCTCTTATTCCTTTGTTTCTCTTTCTATATTGTGTTTTGGGAGCAGTAGTTTTAATTTCCTTGAACATGATGAGGAACTTCAATTTCAGTGGAGTATCATGTAAGACTAGGTGATTATTAATTTCAGAGTGGTTTGTGGTCAAACTTGCAATTACTAGAGGCCAAGTGCGCCAGGCATGATCTTTGTAAATATGTAGGCTTGCTGGATTTGGCGTAACTGTATTAGGGTCCTAGCCCTCTCCAGGCTTCGTAGGCGAGAGTCTCGTACATTGTGTTTGCCCTTTTTATTGGTCCATGGTCACAAGAAGCATGACCAAAGTTCATGCTTTGAAATTAGGAACTTGAAGAAATACCTTGAAATTAATGGTGTTGTTTATTTATCAAAGGATAAAAATGAGAATAAATTAATATTATGAATAAATGTGGAGCCACTAAAAAAAAAATACCACTTTGAATGTTGGTTGAGAAAGTGAAAGTTCCAGGAATTAATTGCCAGGAAAAAATAAATAAAATGTTGTAGAATGAATGCATGCTTGTGCATGAAGTTCATTCTTTTTCCTTTTTTGTTTCTTCTTTTATCTTTTTTTATCATTATGATATGAAATTAAACAAAGTTCCTTCTTATTTGTGCTTATTTTTCAAGCGACAGAGTTTAAACAAACAGTATTAGTTCACATGCAAAAGTCTTGCATAAGCAAGCATGACAAGATCAAATCCTATACTGAAACAATAAATGTGACCCAAAAAAAAAAAAAAAAAAAAAAAAAAAAAAGCTAGATTTTCATACAAACAAAACACATTTTCATCACAACTGAAATTCTTAATTACATTAGAAAACAAAAATGAAATTGACAACGTACAGAAATATCTCTAAAAGGATCCTTTGCTGTTTCACAAACATAGAACCGTCTTCTTGGATTTCTGCTAAAATGGAGCCTTGGGTCTGCAATGGCTCTCCTCAGGACCCCTAATTAACATAGCCTATATAGATGAACAACAAACAGAAAAAGCCAAAGAATGAGCAAAAACCAATATTTGCACTCACTTGTGTGTGACACACCTTGCTCCGAGGTCTCAACTTACTCCTCCATAATTAGATGGACACCCAATTTCTTGACCTTCGGATTTTCTTTTAAGTTGTAGAAGTCTACTTTAGCCCGAATGTCAGAAGCATCATGAGGAATATTGGGAAGGCCAATGGGTCTTCGTCTGAGCAAATCTTTAATTGGTCGATGGACTTTTTTATCAACGTCATAATATTTGGTTTTGTGAATGAAAATGACGTGATCTGACCCAATATCTCCTACACCAATTCTGGTCTCATAAAACTTGATCCCGGACTCACCAATGACACGGAGTTTAAAGGACATCTGCCCGTACCATCCAAGGAAGGATCCTTCGAAAACAAGACAAAAGACAATTCCTTTAACGTTATTGTAAGAAGGTGGATGATGTACCCGGAAATACCGATTTGAAGATCCTTTAGCCTTACACTTATGGTTAAACCATTGCGGAATCTCACTTCCTGGAACAATTATTATACCCATTTCCTGTTCCATTCCATGCATTTATAAAGTTCGTCAACCTGATTTTTCACACACACACATATATATATATATATATAAAGAAAGAGACAGAGGAGGGATGGATGAACCTGAAGTTGACTTTGTGATAATAGATTTTGCATGTTGTAGCAGTGAGTGAATCTGAATATCCGATAGTCTGGACTGCCTACACTTGGTGGAAACCAATATTGTTCCAATGATTTGCAACCAGTTGCATCAACACACCTTATAGATGACGGAAGTGACGTCAACTTTCGGAGGCTTGTGCAATGTCTCAAATAAAGAGAATTGAGGTTTGTGAGTTGTTTGAAGCACGCTGGTATGCTTGCGAAATTGTTTTCACTTAGATTTAAAGTTTGCAACAAGGATAGGTGGCCAAAACTGGATAAGGATTCTTCAGACAAATTGCAACTTCCGAGATCTAAATAAGTTAAATTGCACAAACGGCCTTGCAAATCCAGTTGCAAATAAGTTGAATTAGCAACATTTGTTCTCTTTCCCAGCTGAATTGATTTTGTCATCCATGAACTTCCTCCATCATCATCATCATCATCCAGTTGCAAAGTGTTACTGAGATTGAGCGAAGTAAGCTTACTCAAGTGTAAAATGGATGATGGTACCTGGTTTATAAGAAGAGTTCCATCCATCTCAAGCTCGCCTAAATCCTTCATTCCAGAAAAAATGTTGTTTGGAATATTTTTAAGCTTACGGTTGACCGTTAGTTCTAAATGTTTAAGCCCAGTAAGATGTTCCATTGATGAGGGTAAATCTTTTATTGCAGTGTAGCCTAAACGAAGCACCTCCAAACTATCCATACCTTCCTGAACCTCTGGAAACTTCTCAAGTTTTGAGCATTCAAAGAGATCAAAATATTTCAATTTTTTCAACTTGATGCTTCTTGGGAGACGACTTAGTTTTTCACATCCAAAGAGATTCAACCTAACAAGCCTCTCATGAACTCCACTGGAAAGGTGAACCTCAACTAGATTTTCACAACATAGAAGATTTAATTCCTCAAGAAGTGGGAAATTGGACAGATCAGGAAATTTTTTCAAATATGGGGACCCGCTGAAATCGATATGTTTTAACATCCCCATAAACTGTTTAGCAAATAAGCAATGCAAGAAATAAATCAGTTTCAATACAACCAACAATACAATTCATATGTAAATAAACTGTCATCATACCTTGATGTCCATTGGAATTTGTTGGATTTGGCTACCAGGAAGGTGAAGTTGAACAAGATTTTCTGGATGGAAATTGGATGGCAAAAATCTTTCCGGGTAATCTTCCCAATGAAGATAACATAATTCATTTGGAAGATATGTAAGGCGTCCACGAGGCCGTATGCCACTGAGTTTGAGCAGTTTAAGTCTCTTCATTTTCACAAAGACATCAACATTTACATGTAACTCCTCTGGTGGATGGTGATGAGGCATGTTTAGCAGGATGCCTTTAATTTTTTCTGTCCCCTGATAACCAAGAACATAGTGTAAGTTACCACATTATGTTAAAGCAAAGCACAACCTATCTTTTTTTAATTATACAAGTTTTGGAGGAAAGCAAAACCTGATTAGAATTACATTGGAGCTGCTTATACGAAGAAAAAAGAGAAGGATTAATTTAAAGCAAAGCCTCTCTTTTTTGAACTACTTGCACTTGGAAAGAAACTTATAAGTAGGTGAACAAACCTTATTTTCTTTGAGTACTTTATAGATATCTTTATGAGAGTACAACCTACTTCGTTCGCCAGGATTATCAGGTGATTCTTGACGAACAATTTCTTTGCCCATTTCTTCTATCAAATCATGCATCCACAGCCTATTGTTGTCTGAGATAGTTATCAAGGACCGTTCCCTTAGAACTTCAATCCGTGGGGGAAACCCACTACTGCCCAATATACTGTTTACTTCATTTTCATGATACCCTTTAAAGAAACAAGCGATATCAAGGAATAGATCCTTCTCTGTATCCTCAAGGCCATCAAAACTTATCTTGAGAACTTCGTAAATTTTTTTATTTGGAATTTTTTTCAATCTCTCCAGTTCCTTTTCCCAGTATTCTATGCTTCTTTTAAGTAAAAGAGAACCCAAAACTTGAAGAGCTAATGGAAGCCCCTGAGCACAATCAATTACACTCTGTGAGAGTTTAAAATAATTCACTTCAAGATCCTTGTTCTTGAAGGCATGCCAACTAAAGAGTTGACTAGCTTCATTGTAATTCAACAGCTCAACCATGTAGATTTCAAGAACTTCACGCTGTTCCAACACGCGTTTGTCTCTACTTGTTATGATGATCTCACTTCCAAGACCAAACCAATCATTTTTCCCGACTAAACTTTCTAATTGCTCCAAACTATTCACATCGTCGATAACTACAAGAACTTTCTTGTGTTGGAGTCTTTCCTTTATCACATTGATCCCGTGGTGAACATTCCATATCTTTAAATCTTCTTCCATTAGGATTTCCTTCAAGAGTTTTTGTTGGAGATGTGCTAGACCATTTTTTTCTGACTCTTCTCTAACATCTGCAAGGAAACAATGACTTTCAAATTTATCAAATTTTCGGTTGAAAACAGCTTTAGCAATTGTTGTTTTTCCCATTCCCCCAGCTCCACAAATCCCTACAATGCGCACATCCTTTGAACCATTGGTCAACAAAGTGATCACTTCGTTTACACGGCGATCTATCCCCACCGGGTATTGGGCAACATTTAACGGTAGATGCTTCCCCAAAATTTTCATAATCTCTTGAGCAATTTTTTGAATAAATTGCGCCTCATGCCTATCAAGTACGAAACATATTAAAAAATAAATAAATCAATTGTGTGAGTTTGATGGTATTTATAAGAGATAAATTCTAAAGTTACTATAATGAATATTTCTGTCAGTTATAACTAATATATGAGACAACAATAATAAATAACAGTATACAAATTAAATTTATAGAAATAGATTAATACACGTTAATAATGTTGATAGCCATATAATAGTTATACAATAAAAGGGTAAATTTACAACCAAATTCATGATATCTTTTATATAGGTCCGTGCACGGTGGATGAAAAGTGGTCCTACTAAAAGTGAGGAGAATTCATAAAGGCCTAAAAGAAGGGAAAAACTGAAGAATTCATAACTTGTGCATGTCAATTGTCAATAAATAGTAGAAAATAAAACAATAAAGCTGAATACCGATGGAAACAAATGTAATAGTCTGTGTTGGTATTGTTTGAATCCCATCCAAAGCTATTATAACTAATACTGAAGTTACTATAATGAATATTTCTGTCAATTATAACTAATATATGAGACAATAGTAATAAACTACTGAACTCATAAATCAAATCAAATTGATAGAAATAGATGGAATAATACATGTTAAAAATGCTGATAACTATATGATAATGCATATTGTGGCCGAGGAACTTCTGCACATATATATAAAATCAATGGTTGAACAATATATACATCCATGCATATTCAGTTGAAGATTCATATAGGCCTAAAGAAGGAAAAGAGTATGAAAATTCATAGCCATAACTACTCAATCTAAAATCAAAAAGAACTTTAATCAACAAAATCGTTAATATAACTAAGTGTGTTAGTAAATAGTGGAAAATAAAACAATAAGCTGAATACTGATAGCAGATGTAGTAATTAATTACCCATTTTCAGTATTTTTTGAAACCCATCCGCTTAAGCTGGCGGCCTCAACCAAAGCTGCCCTCCACCTTTGCGCCTTTTCCTTGTCGTCCCCAAAAGCTTCTGCAAAACTTCTCTTTTGTTTCCGAATGTCTGAGGGGTCCACTTCGTAGAAGACCAGCAAAACTGTTTGTCGCACTGTGTTTTTACAGTCAATGATCTCCACCAGTTCATCTAAGCACCATGAGGAGGATGCGTAGTTTTTCGAGAACACGATGATAGAAATTCTGGACTCCTTAATAGCCTTGAGGAGTTCAGGAGAAATAGATTTTCCTCTCTCAAGTTTCTCATCATCTTTGAAAGTGTAAATTCCTCTCTGTGTCAGAGCCACATAGAGATGGTCCACAAAGTTCTTGCGAGTATCTTCGCCTCTGAAACTTAAGAAGACGTCATAATTCCATCGAGGCGAAGAAGAAGGAGGAGAAGAAGAAGAAGCCATTAGCACTGGGTGAATTTTTTTTTTTTTTTTTTTTTTTGTGCAAAATGACTAAAAGCAATTTTGGTACTTGAAATTAATATCTCTCTCCTCTTTATTATATATGGCTGTTGATGTCTATGTGTAACAATATCCAAGCAATTTCCTTCCTGTAAGACTCTGTCCACACAGAAAGTTGGTGGTGACTTGCTGTGAAACTTGGAGGAAGAAAATGTGTTAATGTGAAAATGTGTTAGTGATGGTTAGAGCTTGGGCTTCCACATCCGAGGCTCAGGTTCGACTCCTAGCCTCTGCGTTCCTGGACTCACCCGGAAGTGTCCTTGGGCAGAGCTCCACCCCCCAGGTTTGTACCCCACGGTGGGTCCCTAAGGGTCCCTGCGTGGGGGAGTTCCTGAGTCAAACAATATATATATATATATATATATATTAAAAGTGGGCCCAAACAGAAGACTAGCACTAAATAATGTCTGAAAGAAGCTCCAAAATGTAATAAATCCCCTCCACTAAATAATGTCAAGAATTAAATCACGTTATATTTGGACGAAGAGTCGGCAATTAAAGTCAGAAGATCTATCATTTCTCTTTGAATAATCATGGTAATTCAACTATAATATTATTGATTGAGTTATGATGTGTTGTCAGAATTTGAACAAATCAAAAAGGAAATATTTGTTTTTAAGTGGATTGGTGAATCCCATCACATAATGGTCCGAATTCTGACTATAATTATTATTTTAACACTTGACTTACTCATCAATTACTAGATGCATACCCCCCATTTCTTGACATTGAGTTGGACTTCTTTGTTGTTACCTTCCTTGATGCATTCGAGCTCAACTGTTGGATTCTTGTTCAATAAATGTCAATTGGCCTATTCATACTCATTGTAATATTTTGTTACATGAGTAAAAAAAACCTAAGCAGAGCTATAAATTAGCTGAGATTAAAGGTGTTTGAACTTGACTCAACTTATTTATGGAGGAATTCAAGCTGGATAGAATTGAGTTCAATGTTGATCAAGCTAGACTTGACATAATTTAGCTAAACTCAAGTTCAAGCTCAAGCTCAGCTCGACAAGCTCATTTACGGGCCATCAATATAGACGAACATAATCCCCAGATATATATGTTCACGCACTTTACATATATATATATATGCGCACAACTTTTTATGTATCAAGTTTGTGTGATTTGTTTTGAGTTTTTACCAACATCATCTCTTCAAATAGTGACACGTATCAACATTTTTTTGAAGACATTTTAGTCTGACTCATTCACTTGAGGGATTATTACACTTTATAAGTTTTTTTTGAATTATAAAGATATAATTTGCATATTATATATGAGTCTAAAATTTTTGGACTCCAACAGTAATAATTTTTTCCGAAGACAAAGAAGTAGTACCATTTGACTTGAAGATCGTTAAGTAAAGAAAAAAAATTGGTGTAAGAAAAAAATAAAAGTAAAAAATGAAATGAAAAATAAAATTGAAATTCAAATAAATTTCTATGAATTTTGGTCATTACTTTCACTTTTTCGTTTTAACTAAACAACTTTTAAGATGCTTCCGCACACAAAGTCCTGTTATAAAATAATTCGTAAATATTTAATTTAGGATGAACATTTTTTTAATATTTCTTACAAGGGTTACTGTTTAGTACAGTAACAAAATCTAACTTGACAGCACATATTTAATATAGTAACAGTCAATAATAATTTTTTTTTTTTTTTTTTTTCTAAATTCAGCATTTAATTCTAAACAGATTTAACACTTATTTAATTAAATGTATTTGATAATGCAATTTGTTAATTACTAAAAACTAACAAGTGTCGTAATGATTGGGTTAATCTCTGGTGTTTGAGATTTGCACCCTTCTTCTAATTACTAAACGCCTAACAATCTTGCCCAATATTACTTATCACTGAATTGGATTATTTTTATTTTTTTAATGAATCTGATCATTTAAAATTCAAAAGGATATTAATTTTTAGTAGTTAATTTTTATTAAACAAGAACTTATTAATGCTCCACAATTAGACTTCATGTAAAATTACTACTAAGTTTCTGCTATGTTCTATAAAGGACAAATAACATTTAGTATATGTTTTTTATTTGACCAATAAATCTTACTTTTACAATTCTTCTCTATTAAAGTTCTAAATCATTCAACTTTTTACCTATATACCCTTAGGACTTACATAATTAGATTAATTTTTTTAAAAATAAAAATAAAAATTTACCTTCACAAGTATGAGTAATTTTTATTTTATTTTTTTCTATTTAGTGGGTGCAAATGTAAAACAAATAAATGACGATTCCACCTTAGTCAAAAGATACAATTATTAGTGAGTTGTTGAAGCAGACATAATTTTTTTTTTTTCATTAAGGTAATAAATGTTAGATATTAAATTAACAGATGTAGAGAGTAAAGTCCATCGAAGACACTAACCTATTAGGCTATTAAAGCATCTCTAGCTTCTTCTGTTCATTGGATAAAGAAAGTGAAATACGTGAGGCATTTCTTTATTATTTATTTATTTATTTACCTGTAATTAATGTTTATTGTTGTCAATAAAAAAATATGTCAATAGGCAATACATTATTACTATTATTATTCTTCACTTTTGGCACTCCTTAACTTTGGCATATCTTATTCATTTCTTTTTTTCTTTTTCTATATACGGTATATTTTTTATGATTATGGGGGGATAAATTACATTTCAGTGATAAAGCTTTAGTCATCATATATCCATATTAATTTATTCTAAATATATAAGCAAGTTTTGATTCTATCAAGTTTTAAGTAAGATCTTGTATAGACTGATTATAAATTTAGGTGCTTATTATTATTATCATTTTTAAATCTTTAAAAAAGAAATGTCAGGCAAGAGTACTTTATAAACATGTATTTGTTGCTTAGATATTTTCCAGAGAAGTCCAACAAAAATTTAGATTCAAATAGTAACTTTGAATTTTCCTCTCTGATTAGGCCCTCTGTGAAGAAAGTGACCTAATGTGTAGTTTGAGAACTCCTCTCGTATGATAAAAGTTGTTTGAATATTAGTTCCATGTAGACCTTGAGCATCTCATTGTGAATTTCCATGTCGAAAGCGAAACAATAATGTGTTCATGCCCTGGTGGTGAAAAAACATCTATTTCTGTCCTGAGTGGTGAAATAATTTTGTTAAAGAAAACAAAATTTTTACTTCATTGTGTCTATGCCCTGAGGGGTGCAATGCGTCTCACTGTGGTAATTGTTGTATTGTAGGCTTCAAAAATGCAAAATAAATTCTTTTCTGGGACCCAAAAAAAAAGATAAGAATAAAAATAAAAATAATTGCTACACTTACTAAGTAATATAAAATCAATAAAATTGTCCTGCACCACTTTGTGTAAGGTCCAAGCAATTTCCTTCTTTTAATGAAAATGTCCAGGCAGTTGGTGATTTCAAAGCATTTGCTGGAAACTTTCCACCAAACTTCTACCTTTCGGAGTAATGCAAGTGATTGGAAAAAAGCATCTTGATACAAAACAAAAGACTTCCACTAAATAATGTCGGAAAGAAGCAAAGAGGAATCTACAAAGGTGTAAATCGAATAAAGTTATTGTTCGTGAGACTTTTTTATTTCAATGTGCATCCCTTGTATTTTTGCGAGTAATAAAATAAAAAATTGGGACTTTGGTCCTGTAAATCTTTGTGCTGTTATAATACTACTATTCCTCTTTGACAGTGTGTATGTTTGACTGAGAATTGGTGGTTTAAGTGTAGGGACGTAAATCAACTGAGTTGCTAGTTCATGAACAGTTTGAGTTTATCTCACTAAGGGCTCGATTCAGATTCGTTTATTTAATAAATGAGTAGAATCCAAACTTAATTTTCAGACTCATTTACAAAACGAGTCGAACTCGAACAATGTTAAACTCGACTCGGGTAAGTTCGTGAACATATATTTGTTAAAATTCGTTAAGGTTCAAGCTCGTTATATATCTATACATATTATATATATAAGATAATGATGATTCAGTTAGCTAGGTTTTTTTAATTTTTAAATATCATACAGTATAAAAAAAAATAATAAATTGCAACCACGCATGGGATTCTTTTTGTGGGAATCTAGAACTTTAGTTGCTTTAGTGGAAATAGACTGATAGGCTGCTAGGCCTACTGGCTACATGTGATATAATCGAATAAATTAATATACACAAATTTTTAAATGAAAAGAAATCAAATTTTTATATAACTTATATATATATATACACGTTTGGTAGGACTTGATCTCCGAAGACTGATTTTCATTGGACTTTGAGTCTTTTGTTCGTTTCTAACCTCTGGTCTTTTGTTGGTCTCTGTCTTCACAGTATTCACGGTCTTTGTTCAGACTCATTTACAAAACGAGTCGAACTCGAACAATGTTAAACTCGACTCGGGTAGGTTCGTGAACATATATTTGTTAAAATTCGTTAAGGTTCAAGCTGGTTATATATCTATACATATTATATATATAAGATAATGATGATTCAGTTAGCTAGGTTTTTTTAATTTTTAAATATCATACAGTATAAAAAAAATAATAAATTGCAACCACGCATGGGATTCTTTTTGTGGGAATCTAGAACTTTAGTTGCTTTAGTGGAAATAGACTGATAGGCTGCTAGGCCTACTGGCTACATGTGATATAATCGAATAAATTAATATACACAAATTTTTAAATGAAAAGAAATCAAATTTTTATATAACTTATATATATATATATACACGTTTGGTAGGACTTGATCTCCGAAGACTGATCTTCATTGGACTCTGAGTCTTTTGTTCGTTTCTAACCTCTGGTCTTTTGTTGGTCTCTGTCTTCACAGTATTCACGGTCTTTGTTGAATACTGTGAAGACAGAGACCAACAAAAGACCAGAGGTTAGAAACGAACAAAAGACTCAGAGTTCAATGAAGATCAGTCTTCGGAGACCAAGTCCTATCAAACTCCATAAAAAAACTGGAAGAGGCACGAGCCAAAGCAGAGTCCATAAAATTTTGAGCTCATCAAGCCTATACAAACTTCATAAACAAACCGAAATCTAGCAAATCCAAGCTCGGCTCGGCTAGGTTCATTTATAACCCTAAAGTTAAATTTTTTTATAAAAAATTATACTCATGTGACAACTACTAATATGGGACGAGTAATAATACCAAAAGGTTAGACCTACTCTTCGGTCTTCCATTCGTAGCAGCACAAGCCTACTTGTCACAACAATAATCTATGCCTAATATCATTTTTACTGCATAGTGTTAAGCCAAGAT